GAAAACTGTGAGCTTCATGTGCGTTCTTAAGGTGTTAAGGACTTGGAAATATCTAGCCAAACCTATCAAAATGGAAGGGTGCACCCCTGAATTTAGTAGAGAATATCCAGTCGTTTGGCGCGAGAAAAGAGGAGGGTGCACCCATGTATCTTGTAGCGCGCACCTGCCCGGAGTTGAATTTTGTAGCGAAGATAATGGTGTCTGTTTGCAATTTGTAAAGATTTATCTTGGACCCCTGATTCTGTACTACTAAATGAGGGTGTCTCAAGACGCCCCTATAAATTTACAGGGGGATGTATTTTGTGGTGCTGTAGTGTGCAGGCCTGCCCAACGCCACGAAGCCCACCCGTTCTGTAGAAAAACAATCGCGTCTATGCCGGCATAATTTTTATCATCGGTTCCTCAAGACACCACCAGCTACTTGAGCCGCGGTGAGGATGTCGGAATTCAGCCACATCAGAGAATTAATTGAACACACCGCCTGTGCCTGCATCAGGGATTAGTCTAACGCCACAACTTGGCGGAAAATTGTGCAAAAAATTATCGGTGAGATCCCCACCCCTTAACTTGGCTTGGTGAAAAGCCTTTTTGGAATTTGATGGTTCCGCCCAGATCAACAATAAACGCGGTTAAGCCCACAATTCTGTTGTGACATGTGTGGAGTGCACACGGGCGGTGGAAGAGGTGGAATGAACCGGTGGACTTTCAAGTTGAGCATGTGAAACGAAGGTCCGACAACTTCGGCGACAATTGGAGGACAATTGGGAGCTGCAAGGTGGATTTTGTTTACACTTTTCATTGCCCAAAGAATGAATAGGCAACAATTCTTTGCATGAGGGTGCGGCCAGCAGCATAATCAAATGGGCCGCATCACAAAAATAGACGATTCACAGTTACAGGTACAGTTTTGTTCAACTTTTCAGTTGGGACTTGGCGATGGTGGAGCACCTTGTTCGGAAGAAACCTGGTCTTCAGATATGGCAAATGGCAAACTAGAAAAAACAACATGTCTGCCGCTGCCTACCAAGTATGCGCAACAGAATCCCATGTGACCAAACCGGCGAAACAGAGCTTCGCCGTGGCATTTCGGCGTTCCAGCTTCAAGCCGCCGGCGTGCAGTTGCTTGCATTGGCAGGTGTGTTGCCTGTTGCATTCAGAGCGTTGGTGAGAAAATTCTTCAAGCGTTGCAGGTGTGATGGGGACTCGCAAATTCTCCGACATATCTGGTTCCGACTCAGCATTCTGCACCTTGGCAGTGGCTATTTTGGTTTGTTCGCAACCGACAGGATTTGGGGTAGTTACAGTAGGATTGAAATAGAGCCCACCCTATTGTGACCCCCGGCCCCGGCCAAGTGTCCCCACCAGTGCCTTGCCAGTGGGGGGTGGACATACTTGATGGCAAGACATAATGACAACACTCAGCGCAGCGACAACAAGGAACTCACACAGAATGCAGTGGGAACAGGACAACGGACAATGACACATAATGTCAACATCAAACAAAATCGCAGCTCTTGTATATAACTATAGAACTGCCTGACAATGGGCAAGGATAAGCATGAGAGCAGGCAACCAAGATTGACACATATAGTTTGCACCAAATACCACATGAACGTTTATATCGGGACAAACCAGGTCCGTCGGGGATAGCTCGAAGTAAAGCAGTTTTTAAATGGCGAACGTTCCCTGAATCGAAATGCGAGGCGTTGTGCTGGGGGCCCAGTGGGGAGATGAAGGCAAGGGCAAGCTCGTGGACATCCTGGCGCAGGCCCAAGGCTAAAATGATCATTGTTTGGCATGTGGCACGCCGTTGTTTGAGCGGATGCAGGACGTTCAGGTATGTGCACGATTTAATGGAGGTGCAAATGCAGGGCACACTTTGTTGGTAGCTGCTCGCTTCAACTCAATGATGCTATGTCTTCTAGATGCTCTTGTGCAGTTTGCGTCTGAGGATGGGAAAAAATATGCATTTCATTTGCTCCCGTGTGGGATGATCAACAAGGCCGAGTGAAATGCCTGCGCAGTGATATGAACAATATATACAAAACAAGGGTTTTGCTGGAATATTGTTTGGCTTCTACTGGTCTTTATTTTCCACAAATCAACGACTTGGAAGGCTTGCAAGAATCTCATTGGCAATGGCGTTGTAGTGCACCTGGGTGAACATGGTGAAAGTGCGATTGGACTCGGACAGAACAAATCCAGCCGTACTTCTTGGTGTGCATTGGTGGCCCAAGGCACATACCAACATTGATGAAAGAACTCGACGCACTCAAGGACCCAACCAATCACTTTTGGCAGCTTTAGTTGGTCGGGGCTTGTGCCAGGAATTTGATCCACAAGCTTTGGAGAGAGTGTTTATTTCTACACGCCCAGGGCTCAGAAGACAGTTTTGCAGGCTCAACCTGCACTTTGTTGGCATCATTTGCTGCCAGCAGGATGCTGCAATGCTGGTGCCGTCAGGTGCCCACATCCTCCTCGACAGCCATCAGATTATAGATGGAATACTGGAGGCTGAACAAGGCTCCAACTCTATTGGAACCACGCCGCTCGACGCCACGAAGTGTATCGTTTTGGTGCATTGGAGAGGAGATGTGACAGGCACAGTTTTGACCGCTTTCATACTGATGTGCATGGGCCACCTTTGCAGAAAGTAGGAAACGCGGAATTGGCCCTTGCTATTCGTCAAAGGCAATCCGCACCCAAGTTGCAAGTAGCGGGCTTGTGTTCGGAGAGGAGTGGCCGAGTACGTCATGTGAGTCATGTTACATTTTTGCTCTTTCCAATGTAGGTAATGGAGTCCGCTTCGGAGATCTGCTTCTTGGATGATTTAGTAAAGCTGAAAAGTAAATCGGTTCCCTTCTCCCAGCGAGTGGTTCCAGAGATTGAAGTTTGGCAGACGTGCCAGCACAAATGTTGTTACAGTAACTTTCTTTATTGAGCGGTCCAGGTGTATTTGAGGTCAGAGTAAGGTTCGCTGAGGTCGGCGGAGGCGACAAACCACACAACCATCACACACAAAAAGCATAGGCTAACAAAGGGTTGCATCACTTCATATCACTTTCTGCAGTTGCCTTGGACATCGGTAGAATTGTTGTAAACATTTACAGACATGAAAAGGACCCGAGCCGCAACCATAAATTCAGGGGGTGAACTTAAGGAATAACACACCAAACACAAGTCAAAGCAAAAGCTATTAGCTGCAAGCCGCAAAAGCTTAAATTCAGGGGTGGCGGTGAATTTAAGGAATGACAAAACAAAGTTGACTTTGAGAACTTATGTTAATTCCTGGGAAGTGGATTGGGGGGGTGAATTTATGAATGGAAATGCGGGACAAGTGAAGCGGTCGGGACGTGCTTCATGGGGAGATAGGTGTGCAGTTGGACATAAATAAAATTGTTGCAAACACAGCAAAAACACCAATAGCATCAATTCATAGAGGAACACCACAACAAACAACCAACAATTATAGAAACAACTCACTGCTTAAACTCAGGTGTGAGGGTGAACTTAAGGAACGACACAACCAAAAAGGAAAAACTAAATAGTTATGCTTTCTATCCCTTTAGTGATGTGAGCTTTCACCGCTCAAAGTCTTTTGGTTCGAGCGGTGGTCAATGAGCTTGACCTTTGCTTTTGATCTCCTTCGAGAGCTCCGCTGGGCGTGGCCCGTTCAGTGCAGCTCCTCTGGCCTCAGCCTTCCCTTGGTGCTCTTACTCCTCATCCTGGCTTGCTGCTTGGGCTGCATCTGTGGGGGCCTCGTGGTTTTGACTGCGCTCTCGGCTTCTTGCAGAAGAGTTCTAAGCTGGCTCATTTCTGGGTGCGCTGCCGCTCTGGTCGATCCTCTTCCTCAAGGCGACACTTTGAGGCGCAGGCTAGGGCAGTATCGTGCTGTGCATGGGGCCTGGGCGCCAGCTGGACCAGCTAGTTGTGGAATTTGGGGATCTCAAGATCCGAGTTGAGAGAGCAGGAGGTTATCAAGCAGGCGCTGGCAGCGCCGCAGCGCCTTCTACTACAGGGTCCCCCCCTCAGGGTGCCCTTGCAGGCCCTGCGCGGGCCACAGTTGAGCAGGGCTCAACTACTTCAGCAGCGGCCTCTGATCCTGGATCTTGGGAGCCTGTTGCGGCTGGAGCTTCAGCTTTTGTGCCTCACACTCCGGAGTGGGAGAGGGCCCTGATTGCTGCCCTCACTCCGGAAGAGATCGAAGGTCTGGATTTGAGCCCGGTCACTCATTTGCTGCCGCGCGTTCGCAGCAGTAGCAACGGCTGGGGCCCACTCGGACGTCTGGGTCGAGCATTGAGAGCTGGAGTGCAAGCTAAGGAAAAGTTGGACCGTGGTCGTTGCTCAGCTGGGACTACATCCGCTTTGACCTTGCCCTCAAAGATCTACATCATCCTGGAGCCTGCCCCCAGTGGTCAGGCCGGTTGGACTGACCACTATTTGACCTTCAGAGATCAGGTGCTTGGGCGCCACGGTGACACCCACGGAGACGCAGTGTGCCACGCCTTCCCCTCGCGTGCTGAGGCGGAGGCGTACCTCATTGGTGCTCAGCGGCCATGGCCGGCGCTCCTGCGCCGACCTCAGACGAGTTGGGACTACGTGCCCTGTGGGATTCTGTCCCTCCCTCAGGGCAGCTGCCAGCTCTTTTCTTGGTCTTGCCGGCCAAGGAAGATGGGACAGGGTTGCGGGTCACCGCTTTTTTGGTGAGGATTCGCTCTGGCGGCTTCATGGTGGTCCTACCAGACTTTGTCGAGGTCACCCAGTTTTTCCCGAAAGCATTGCGAAGGGTTCTTCCGGAAAATCCCTTGAACACTGACACTTCGACACTTACACTTACACACTGACACTTCCACCACATTCGCACTACATACACTGACACTTCGACACTGACACTTACACATACACACTGACACTCGGCAAGCACGCAGTGTAAGTATGCAAGTGATGGGTACGCAAGCATGCAATGAGCATGCAAGCATGCAATGAGTAGGCAAGTGTGAGTATGGAAAACTAGCACGGGAGATGTCCTAATGAAAAAACATTTCCCCACTTTATAAATTCTCTCTTAAAGGCGGAGGGCGGGACGAACAGCGTCAACCGAAAGTGCAACCCTCTGCGGAGATCGTGCGTGTCGACTGCGCGAAATGCAGGCGAGAGTGCGATTTGTCCGGTCCGCGCGCAACCCTCTGCGATTTGCCGGCTGCCCGCGCAACCCTCTGCGGAGATCGTGCGTGTCGAGTGCGCGAAATGCAGGCGAGAGCGCGATTTGTGACATCACCGCGCGACCCTCTGCGGAGATCGCAAAACGCAGGCGAGAGTGCGATTCGAGCGGAGCAAGCTGTGGAGCTGGAAGCTGAGAACTGGCGACTTTGTAGTACAACTTTAGTACGCGGAGGAGCTGGGGAGCTGGAAGCTGAGAACTGGCGACGTGGTAGTACGACTGTACTACGCGGAGTAGCTGGGGAGTGGGAAGATGAGAACTGGCGACTTGGTAGTACAACTTTAGTACGCAGAGTAGCTGGGGAGCTGGAAGCTGAGAACTGGCGACGTGGTAGTACGACTGTAGTACGCGGAGTAGCTGGGGAGCGGGAAGATGAGAACTGGCGAGTGGGTAGTACAACTTGAGGGCGCGGAGTATCTGGGGAGCTGGAAGATGAGCACTGGCGACTTTGTAGTACAACTGTAGTACGCGGAGTAGCTGTGGAGCTGGAAGATGAGAAGTGGCGACTTGGTAGTACAACTTTAGTACGCAGAGTAGCTGGGGTGGGAAGATGAGAACTGATGAGTGGTTAGTAGCTGAGAACTCGCGACTTTGTAGTTTCAACTTTAGTACGAGGAGTAGCTGGGGAGCTGGAAGATGAGAACTGGCGACTTGGTAGTACAACTTTAGTACGCAGAGCAGCTGGGGAGTGGGAAGATGAGAACTGGCGACTTGGTAGTACAACTTTAGTACGCAGAGTAGCTGGGGAGTGGGAAGATGAGAACTGGTGAGTGGGTAGTAGCTGCGAACTGGCGACTTTGCAGTACAACTGTAGTGCGCGGAGTAGCTGGGGAGCTGGAAGATGAGAACTGGCGACTTGGTAGTACAACTTTAGTACGCAGAGTAGCTGGGGAGTGGGAAGATGAGAACTGGTGAGTGGGTAGTAGCTGAGAACTGGCGACTTTGTAGTACAACCTTAGTATGCGGAGTAGCTGGGGAGCTGGAAGATGAGAACTGGCGACCTGGTAGTACAACTTTAGTACAAGTAGCTGGAGACTGGGAAGATGAGAACTGGCGACTTGGTAGTACAACTTTAGTACGCAGAGTAGCTGGGGAATGGGAAGACGAGAACTGGCGAGTGGGTAGTAGCTGCGAACTGGCGACTGTGTAGTACAACTGTAGTGCGCGGAGTAGCTGGGGAGCTGGAAGATGAGAACTGGCGACTTGGTAGTGCAACTTTAGTACGCAGAGTAGCTGGGGAGTGGGAAGATGAGAACTGGTGAGTGGGTAGTACAAGTTGAATACGCGGAGTATCTGTGGAGCTGGAAGATGAACACTGGCGACTGTGTCGTACAACTGTAGTACGCGGAGTAGCTGGGGAGCTGGAAGATGAGAACTGGCTGCCTCAACTTACTCGGACACACACACAGACAGAGACGCATATACACACGGACATAGATACACACACAGAGACCCACACATTACCTCGACTCACTCGATTTGACACTTCACACTGCACACGGAACAGAGAACTCGCACTCAGACTTCCTACGCGATGAAACTACTAGGAGCAAGGACGCTACTAGGTGCTCCTGGACTTACCTACGTTTCGTTTAGATTCATATAGTTTGGTTTAGGCACGTCTCGTTGCGTGTTCGTTTTTTTGAGCTTGGAGTATCGAGGCTGTGGCGGGATGTACGCGGCGGCTCAAGCAGAGAGACCGCAGCATTTTCAAAATGAGATCGCGCAAGTCTCGACAGACCGTAGGCGGGAACATACAGCAAGGCAAGAGCAATAGTTTCAACACACCACTAGTAACAAGAAGCTAGGAGTAACAAAGGGCATCGCTACTAGGAGCCAGGACGCTACTAGGGGCTCCTGGCCTTACCTACGTTTCGTTTAGTTTGGCTTAGGTACGTTTCGTTTCGTGTTCGTTGTTTTGAGCTTGGACTATCGAGGCTGTGGCGGGAAGAATGTACTGGGAAGAAGTTTCAACACACCACTTGGGATGGAAGTGTACATTTCGTTTAGGTTCGTTTAGTTTGGTTTAGGCACGTTTCGTTTCGTGTTCGTTGTGTGTTTTGAGGTTAGAGTATCGAGTCCGTGGCGCGATGTGCGCGGTGGCTCAAGCAGAGAGACCGCAGCAATTTCCAAGTGAGTTCGCGCAAGTCTCCACAGACTGTAGCCGGGAACACGCAGCAAGGCAAGAGCCGTGAAGAATGTACTTGCAAGAAGTTTCAACACACCTCATAAGCTTCTCGTCAAGAGGCGCACGGACCATGGCCACTTTGCAGGACGCAGTTCTGCGAAACGCGGAGGCAGCGGGTCAGCAGGAGCAAGAGGCACAGCGCCTGCGAGACGGACACCGGGAGGGAGGCGCGGCGTGGTTGCGGACCGAGTTGGAGGCCAAGAACCGCGCCGACTTGCGGCGGCTGTGCGCTTTGTTGGGACTGCCGCAGCAGCGCGACGGCACAGCCCTTCAGAAGGAGCAGCTGCTGGAAGCCATAGTGCACAGCTTCTCATCGCAGGAGGGATGGAGTCAGGGGATGGGCGTAGTGTACAGTGTAACCTTGCACACTAGCTGTTTGTGTTGAAGTAGGTGTTGGCTAGACTCGA